TCCTCCACCCCCCAACCCCCCCCACACACTAAAGACCGTTAAAGCTGGACAAACATGTGCAGACATGTGCATTCACGCCTCAGGATGGATGTGGGGAGCAGCCCACGCCTCAGGACGGGGCCGTGACCCTGGATAAAGGGACCAAGAAGTAAGCCTGGTTTCCCACCTGCCCCACAGGGCAGACAGCACAGCCTTGCTACGCTGAAGAACAGGATTGGAGTTGGGGGGCTCCAAACCCCAAAGGACTGAGGGAAAAACAGGGAGAGGAGGGAACTGGAGGGAAAAAGTCCAGAGACTTGGGTGCAACTTCCTTTTTGAGTTGTGGCCAACTATGAACAGCATGAACCCTGGAGAAGCCATGAGACCCCAGAAGACAGCTCCTAGAAGGACACGGGCCCCATGGGGTCCAGCAGCATGAGCCCTGGAGAGGCTGAGACTATGAGGCTAAGACGGGGCTCTCCTCTGAGAGCACAGAAGTCCCACCTGCCCTGAAGCAAGGGCTCCCCCAGAAAACCAGATCAACTCTATAAAGCCCAACGCAAATCCTAAGTGATACCATGATGGTCTGTGTGCCTACAAGAGAAAAGCAGCACCTACCTTAGGAGTTGGTGCTAACCAACTCTAACCCACTGCTCTCACAGCATCAACGTACAGCATCCAACTTCAAATACAGTCACCAGGCACGCCACTAAAAGGAACCAGATCACTGAAAACTAAGAGAAAACACTCAACAGAAGCAGACCCAAAGGTGACTCAGATGCAGGGGCTATCAGGTAGGGCCTTTAAAATCACCAAGAGGCCACTTTCTCCACACCACTGCTCCAGTTGGCCATTGGCTCCGCTTGCTCTTCAGCACGTTAGACCCTCTTCGAAAGCAGGAGTTGAGAAGTCTAGGCTTTGTCATGAGCTCCGTGACTAAGTCAGGGTGTGACCTCGGACAAGCTTTCTCTGGCCTTAGCTTCCTCCTCCTCCTTCACAAATGAGGGAACTGGAGTCGTGTGTCCCGGGATGTGTGCCGTGCAGGGCTGTGTGCTGGGCACTTATCAGCTAGGCGGGATTACGGGTGCGTACACCTTGTGAAAACTCCTGGAAGTGTCCACTTCATGTGCTTTTCATCTTGTATAACGCATCTCAATAAAGCTGATTTTAAAAGCCAGTTCCCTTCACTCTTCCCTCCAATTTCACCATCTTAGAGGCAATAATACCCAACTCTTTCGGTGGCCCTCTCCTGGCATTTTTTTCTATCTCCGTAACAACCATAACGTGTTTTTATCTTTTTTGTTGTTGTTTTTGGTGGCACTGGGGTTTGAACTCAGGGCCTCACACTTGCTAGGCAGGCGCTCTACCACTTGAGCCATGCCTCCAGCCCTTTTTGTTGCTATGTTGGAGACGGGGTCTTTTCACCCAGGCTGGCCTGGACCATGATCCTCCTGACCTCAGCCTCCTGCAGAGCTGGGATGACAGGCACATAACACTGAGCCTGGCGATTGATTGAGATGGGGTCTCACGACCTTTTCACCCAGGCTGGCATTGAACAGTGATCCTCCCCATCTCTGCCTTCTGAGTAGCTAGGATTACAGGCATGAGCCACCAATGCCTGGCTTTCTTTTTGGCATTTTTGAGACAAGCTCTCTCTTTGTAGCCCAAGATGGCCTCAAATTTGAAATCTTCCTGCCTGCCTCTGCAGGAAGGAGAGTCTCAGCACTTTCTGAATGTTGAAATTACAGCTATGCCCCACCCACTCCCAGCCCTACTGGTAATTCTTGCCTATTCTAAAGGATCGCAACCATTTCAACTCTCAGCAGCAGTGTTTCCACATCCTCCAAAAACTGCTTATGACTTTTTTGTTGTTGGGTTTTTGTTTGTTTGTTTGTTTTTGAAGTGCTGGGGTTTGAACACAGGGCCTACACCTTAAGCCACCCACCAGCCCTTTTTTGTGAGTGCGGAGGGTTTTTTCGAGAGACGGGCTCTTGAACTATTTGCCCAGGCTGGCTTTGAACCATGATCCTCCTGATCTCTGCCTCCTACAGTAAATCATCATTTTCCTCTGCCACTTGACTTTTTTGGCAGTACTGGAATTTGAACCCAGGGCCTTGCACTTGTTAGGCAGGCACTCGGCCTCTTGAGTTATGCCCCCAGCCCCCCTGACACTTGACTTTGTTTAGCATCACTTACAGGTTCACCCCTGACTCATCTAAATATCTTCTTTATATTTAGGATCATATGTGACAATTCACAATTACAACATGGTAAATACTGGACGGTACCACAGTCATGGTGTCACAGCCACCTAGTGATAAACACTTGGGCCATTTCCAGGTTTGTTTGTTTTTTCCTTCATGCTTTCCATTATTACTAAAAGATCTCTGCAAATATCCTTGTTCCTTTCTCTTGGTGACCAAGGTCAAGGTACCCAGTCTAGTGGTTCTCACAGGCATTGAGCATCAGAATCACAAACTGCCTGCCCCTCACCCACCCAGCTTTTGATGCAGCAGTGCTGGTGCAGAGTTCATGGCCACGTAACAGCACACACCCAGGTGGGGCCCACACAGGCAGCATCAAGTCCAGCCTCCATCAGGAGTGTCAGGAGGGCTTCTGGGAAGAAGTACAGCCATGGTCACACCCAAAGAATGACTAAATGTGAGCCAAGCAAAGGAGAAAGGTGGGATCTGTGCTCCCAACAGCTAGAGTGGCCCATGCAAAGACCTGGGGGCAGAGAAAAATGTGGAGCCAGCAGAGGGCCAGGGAGGAGGTGTAGGTGCAGGAACAGGCTGGGAAGATTGGATCAGAAGAAGCATGGAGCATCAGGCGTCCAGGCTACATTTGGTGGCCAGGGAAGGCCCTGAGCGAGCTCAAGCTGAGGGGGAGAAGAAAACCAACCTGAGATGGAGAAAGGCAACTCTGGCTGCCTGGATGGGCAGTGCAGGAGCCAGGAAAGGGGAGCGGTGACATTAATCCTAGCCAGCAGCAACAGTGGCTGGAACTAGGCACAGAAAACAGGAGGCCAGTTCATCTGGGAGGTAGATTGGTTCCTCCTCTCCCCTGCTCTACACCTCCCCTCCTCTCCTGCCTCCCTTTTCTTTTGTAAAAAACAGCTTTATTGAGATATAACTGACAGACCATAACACTTGTACAGTTCAGTGGTTTGGTTTTGTTTCTGCAGCACTGGTACTGAATTCAGAGCCTCAAGCTGAGCCAAGCATGGCTCTACCATTCGAGCCCAGCCTCAGTCCCAATCTGATGGGTTTTGGTATATCCACAAAGCTGTGTGACCATCACCTAATTCCAGAATACAGTCATCATTCCCAGAAGCAACTCGAACCCCTTCTCCATGCCTCCCATTTACCACCACTAATCTATTTGTGACTTTGTCTATTCTGATTATTTCATAAAAATAGAATGTATCAGTCAACTTGGGCCGCTGTAACAAAGTATCTTGGATTGAGTGGCTTAAACAGAGGAATGTTTATTTTCTCACAGTTTAAGGCTGGAAGTCTGAGGCCAACAGACAAACACAATTGAGTTTGTGGGTTACAGATGCTTTCTTTCTTACTATATCCTCACATGGTAGAGAGAAAGAGCAAAAGAAGGAGGGCAAGAACCCTCATGTATCTTCTTTCAAGGACACTAATCTTATGGGATCAGGGCCCTAACTTTAACCTTAGTTATTTTCTTAGAGGCCTTATCTGTAACTCAGGGTTAGGGCTTCACATATAAGTGGGGGGAGGGGATAATTCAGCCTATAGCAGGGAATCATACAGTATTTTATCTTTTATGACTGGTTTCTTTCATTGAGCACGTTTTCAAGGTTTCTCTGTGTTGAAGCACGTGCCAGAACTTCATTTTTTATTAATTTATTTTTTGGAGGGCAGTATTGGGGTTGAACTCCAGGGACCAACATCACGAGGACACACTACCACTTGAACCATGCCCCCCAGCCCTTTTTGCTTCATTTCTTTTCCGTATTGAATACCAGTTTCTAGTCTTTGCCTGGATGGGTCTGGACCAGGATCCTTCTATTCACACCTCCCGTGTACTGGAATGACAGGCACACACCACCTAGCCCAGTTTATTGATCGAGATGCCATCTCGCTAACTTTTTGCTGGGGCTAGCCTTTTGATCTCCACTGGGGAGAGAACTTGATTCCTTTTTACGGCTGAATTAATACTCCACTGTATGAACCACAGTTTATTCTTCCATCAACTTACGGAAGACAGGAGGAGGGAATGCATGCTCTGCTAGGCATCCCCAAACCCTGTTACTCCAGAACCAGCTCCAAAACTTGCAGGTGCCAGTGCAAAATAGACACGTGACCCTCTAGCCGCCCGATGAAGGGGCTCAGGCCGACAGCAGCTCGGCCTCCGGGGAGGCCCCACCTGGCTCTTCCCAGGACACTCAGGGTGACACCCTTGCAAGCCGTTCTTCCAGGGAGGTCACTGTGTTCAGGTCACCATATTTAATGAGAGGAGGAATGTTTAGTCCCACCGAAACGGGTAAGAATTTTGAGGACTGGGGCGTGGCTCAAATGGTCGAGCGCCTGCCTAGCAAGCAAAGACCCTGAGTTCAAACCCCAGTGCTGCCCAAAAAAGGATTTTGAAGCTCTGATGTTTAAAGCATCTCCCCAAATACCTAATTCTTGTGTTAAGATGTTAATATTTAATAAAGCAGGGGGCATCAAAACCGACGAAAACACTATATAAGTTTTTAAACCTGCGATCCTCAACTCGCGCAACCCGAAACCCACCAGCTGGCTCCTGATCGCTCCATCAGCATCCGGGTTCGCAAGGTTTCGCGTGTCCCACGCAGGCTCAGCGAAGGCGTCCTCAGGCCATCAGCGAGCGCGTGGCGTAGGGACACGCCCCCTAGATGGGCGGGGCGACCCCGTGGCGCCTGCGCGGCAACGCAGACCCGCGGGCGCGCGCCTCGGGGGCGGGGCCGCGCGGAGGCCGGAAGGAAAAGCGAGGAAGGCGGGGCCAGAGAGGGAAGCCCGCCGGCTCGCAGGACTGCGGTCGCTGGCTGATGACGTCGCACAATGGCCGGCCCCCGCGGGTAGTGGAGCCCGTTTGTTCCGCCCGCGTCGCGCCTAAAGCCGGAGCCTGTGAGAAGTGGAAGGGCCAGGGACGTCCTGTCCGCGCCGCCCTGACTCCAGCGGAGCCGTGGCCCCGTCTCCGCCCTCGCGCTGAGGTAAGCGGGGCCGGCGGGCGGCGGGGAGGAGGCCGCCCAGGCGGCGGCGGGAGCGAGGCCCGGGAGCCCGGCGCCGCCTCCGGAGCGCTCGGGCGCGCCCCCGGCCGTGCGCAGCCGCGGGTCGAAGCGCGGCCCGGGGCGGGACGGGGCGCCGAGACTGGCGCGAGGCTGACCTGGGACACCCGGACGCTCGCGACCTCGCGCGCTGCCTCCCGCCCGCGGCGGAGTGGATTTTCCTGAAGCTGTCATTTCTCTTCCGGGCCACTAGCGTGGCACATGTTCGCCGCCCACAAAGCGGGGAGACAGGCACGCAAGTTGGCTCGGAGGAGGTCCGCCTGCACTGTTGATGGACTCTTCGGGCAACTTCGAGCTCTCCGGAGCCCCCTAGAACTTGCTCCTGCAGCGTCCAAGAGCGCATGGCTTGGACGCAGCCCTGTGCCCCAAGACGTGCGCCAGTCTCTTAAGAATCCGTAACTTCCTCCTCCCTTTGATCGGGAGCTCAGAGAGGCTGTAACTTTTATGCTGGAAGGAAACAAGACTTCTAGACTTACCGTCTTGCTCCTGCCAGAACTTTAGTATTCCCGAGTACTTTGACAGCCGAGTTTGCCAGCCGCCATGGTTGATTGTTTTAAATGAGCTTTGTTTAGCAAATTCATTTGCAAGAGTACTCTTGATTTCTTCAGATCCCTTTGGGAAAATGGATGAGGGCATTTGACACCTGCCTACTGTGTGGGGTGTCAAAAAGGCTCCCACCGTTTCTTCTTCCAGCCCCACTTCCATCATGTTTGCAATGGTTGGGATTCTCGGAGTGGGCCTGGGTCTAGGCTGGTTCCCACCTCCTGATCCTGGGAGGAGAATCTTTGCCTGATAATTTTACCATCTGAGCACATGTGTGGAGTCCAGTCAGCTCTGGAACCAGTCCAGTGCATCCCAAAGCCCTGGAACTCCTCTTGGGCTGTAGGTGAGAAATGCTCAAACATCGTAAGAGTTTTGTGGAATCACTCCAAAAAGCAAACAGGTAAGCTGTGGCTCATGTTAAAAGAGGTTATTTTCACCTTGTCACAGCTACAGATCATCTCAAGGTGAGTACTTCCTTATCAAGGAGTTTTTTGGTGGTTTAGCTTAGCCAATTAATTTGGGGGTGATGTTTGTCACCAACTTTCACATTCTTGCTTCAGACATTGTAAGCCCATGAAGTCATGAATCAGAATTTTAACCAGATGCACCAGAACTTAGACATTCACACAGGGACTGCTTACTGAAAGTAGTTGTTCCAGAAGGTTATGCTTTATGTTATTGAAGCTCCTTTGCCAAAACCTCTTTAGAATACCATCTTGGTGGTTACTTTGTAAGCCATGTCAGAAGAGATTGATCTCATTTGATGCTCACACCCCATGTTTGACCAAGAGTACCTTACCTGGTTTGGTAATTCACCTTACTTACCAGACCAGGCTCTGAGTGACTTGCACCAGTTTCTCAAAGTGACACACCTTTGAGGAGGAAGATTTGCTACTATGGAGAGCACCCAGAAAATGTTCTGCAAGTAAGAAGTTTGAAGATGCTCTGCACATCAGTGGTGCAGTTGCAATCAGAGTGTGGCCTCCTAGAGCAGTTGCTGAGAAGAGAAATGGCACTGCTCCATGTGTCTGAGTTCTGGTATAATCCTTTACAAATTAGGCACTTGAACCAGATGCTGATAGCTATGTCTGTAATCCTAGCTACTTGGGAGGATCATGGTTGGAAGCCAGTCTGGAAAAATACTTTGAGAGACCCCCATCTCTAAAATAACCAGAGCAAAATGGACTGGACGTATGTCTCAAGTGGTAGAATACCTGCTTTGCAAGCAAGAAGCCCTGCATTCAAACCCTGGTCCTACCAAAAAAAAAAAAAAACAAAAAATTAGGCACTTGTTTTACATTTCTTCTGGTGTGCAACAGGTAGTCCCTTAAGTAATAAGATTGTGTCATTCAAGCATTCATCGAGTCTGCCAAATGCAGTAGGGATTCAATAATGGACACTTGTTATTTCATTCCCTGGGCAGATTCACCATTGTGGATTGGAGACTGAAGATTTTGCTCTAAACCTTGTGGGAGTCCTTGATTACAGGGCATATGTAAGAAGACCAAACTTAGCAAGAATGGTAAACCTAGGAGTTGACTGAGCTGGACCAGAGGACTTACTTTATTGTTTGTATTCTAAAGGCCACATATTTCTCTTCCCTACACTTTGCATAGGGTAGCACTTAGAAATAATCTCAAAACAGGACACTGGCTTCCAGAGAAATAATTAACCTGTCTGGAACTCAGGCTATCTCTAGATTCTCAATGACATTCCCTCTCTTCTGTGCTCAAGGTGTGATTCAGGCTATTTCTAATAAGAGGTAGATTTGTTGGTTTTTTTTTTTTTCTGAGTTTTTCACCTGAGTGTGGCCTCCAATAGTAATCCCAGGATGTTCCACGGGAGATGGACACTTAAGATCCAGACTAGGGCTGGTGGAGTGGCTCAAGTGGTGGTGTCTGCCTAGCAAGTGTGAGGCCTTAAGTTCAAAACCCAGCACCGCCAAAAAAAAAAGATAGCACGGGTTAAGAGAAGTCTCCCAACAGCCTTTCAACAAACTATTGCAATACTATTTGCAGGTGTGGATATGTAACAAAATAATGTACAACAGGATAATATTGTATGCAAGATTTCTTAATCTGGGGAGAACTTCAATGGTTTTGAACTCCTTGAAGTGAGAAAGAAATTTTGTATGTCCAAGCTTTTCAAAGGAGAGGACCTACCTTTCGTTAGATTCTCAAAGCAGTCTATCACCCCAAAAGGCACCTCTGACAGAAAGGGAGACTGGGAGAGTAACCGATGGTTCTGGGGCTACTTGCCTTACCACTTTGTGGTGAGTGCCAACGATTGCCTTCATAAATCAGGAGGAAGTAGGCTTCCACCCTGAAAGTTGAAGTGACTCTGTAAACCCAGCCCTGAAGAGACACAGGCTTGGAAGTGCATCTTCAGACCACCTCCCTGCTGCAGCACCAGCCTTCAGGGTGTTGCCTTTGTGTTTGGAGGGAGAAAAGGGAAGTGGGTGAAAGCTGTAGGTTTGCTAGAAGACCCCAATTCATGCGTAGGCCATGTTCCAAAAAGGAATTTATAAAGTTAATTTAGAAGTTGAGCCCCACTTTCCTGTAGAAAAAGTGGCTAAAAGTAGGGGCTGGTTCCCACGCAGGGAGCAGAAGCTCACTCTATCTGTGGTCCAGGAGGACATGCTCTCAAGTAGTCCTATACTGTATTCCTGGGGCAGCCAGTGCAGTAGCCACATGCGCTTGGTTTCTTTATCTTTGGAGGGAAACAACACTTATTTTGAAGGTCGAGGTAAGGGTTGAGTGACATGAGGAAATGAGTCAGTTTTTCAAGTGCCTGGCAGTCATTTAGCATGTGGTGGTGGCTGTCGGATTTATTGCAGTGTTTGTCAAATGAAGCTGAGTGAACTATTCCTGAGTGCTCCAAGAGACATTTTTTTTTCCTCCAGTGCTAGGGATTGAACCCTGGGCCTTGCACATGCTAAACAAGTGCTCTGCCACTTGAGCCATGCCCCTTCCCTTTTTTAAAAATTTATTTATTTTATATTTTGTTTTTGAAATAGGTTCTTACTAACTTTGCCCAGGCTGGCCTCAAACTCCTGATCTCCAATTGCCTCTGCTTCCTGAGTAGCTGAGATTCCAGGTGAACACCACCATGTCTAGCTAGGAGTATGGTATTTTTAAATCAAAGTTCACCTCTTCTCTTCACTTCACTTTAAAATTTTAAAATATGTGGAGCATGTCCCAGGAACATTATCAGTCATCTCACAAACTGTTGCAAGTAACCTCACAAAAGTGGCTGTTTCAAGTGAAGAAACTAAGGTCTTGTAAGCTTACTTACACTGCCCACGGTGTTAAACCTAGAAGCAGTAGAGTAAGAATTCAGGTTCTAACAGAAGCCCAAATTGTTTGCACTGTGGCAGACATCCCAGCAGCAAGGTAAAAGGTGGCCTTTCCTCTGTGTACTGGTTGGCTTCTTGTGATAGTTCAGATATTTAAAGTTCGGCAGTGTGTTTCTTCCACATCTTACCATAGAATTTCATTTCAAGATTGCCAAAATAGAAAAAACAATTTGATTAAACCTAACAGTAAAACCAAACTGCAAGCCAGTGTGTACTTGAGCCCCAGAAAAGGACTGAGCATGAAGGTGCTAGGCACAGGATAGTATGTTGCAAGGCCAGTGGGGGCTTGGAGCTTGGACTGGTGTTATCTGCCCAATATGTTTCTATGATTTGTAATCTAGAGTGAGTGACTTAAGTTTTGCAGAGTGGTTAGTTGAAATAAGAGATAACTTTGTTTCCAAGGTTGCCATTAGCTATAATATGTGAGAATGCAAGTTTGTCAGGTTTCAAGTGGAATAGCAGACTCAAGTTACCAGTTCAGCATGACTGACCTCCCCAGGGTAGGAGGTGCTGCCCCTAGGCAGCTGGGTAAATGAAAAGTCCCTGCCCTTCTGTGGAAAAGATTTAGAAATACACAGTGTAGCCAGACATTGCCTGCAGTGGTGAAGCACGGCAGGAGTATCATGAGTTGGAGGCCAGCCTGGGCTGCATACTGCAGACCCTGTCTGAAGACAGCAAACAAACCAATACACGCATACACAATATGATACATGCTGTATGAAGCTAGGTGTTTATTATCACTAACCAGAGATCCAGAGGGCATTGCCATTTGGCAGTAGCTGACTTATTTGCTATAAACCTCTCCCCAACCACATGCCCACACAAACTTTGTCTCCTTTTTTGGTGTTACAGGGGTTTGAATTCAGGGCCTCAAACTTGCCAAGTAGGCAGTCGACCACTTGAGCCATGTCTCCAACTCTTTCTGCTCTAATTATTTTTCGAATAGGACTTGTTTTTGCCCAGGCTGGCCTGGACCACAGTCCTCCTATGTATGTCTCCCACCTAGCTGAGATGATAGACACGCACCACCATGGCCAGCTTTTTATTGGTTGATATGGGTCTCCCAAACTTTATGCCCAAGCCACCCTCAAACTACGATCTCCCAGTCTCTGCCTCCCAAGTAGCTAGGAGTATAAGTGTGAGCCACTGCGCCAGCAATAAACTTTCAGTCTTGAGCAGTGGAAGAATGTGCCCTGCCCCTAGCCCATCCTTGGTGGCTGTTCACCCTGGCACTTTGCCTTCCCTGCAGGACTGCTCTGTGCACCAAGGGCCCCTGCGGTGCTGTGCAGAGATCTAGTGGCGGTGGAGGCAGGCTTCTGGGCTTTCTTGTTCTGGCAGAGTTATTGTGGCTAGCTGTTCAGTAATTCCCTCCAGTTGTCTTGTGTCTAGAGTTTTGCTGGAAGAACAAAAAGGGATCTTTTTAAAAACCCTCTACTTTGGTTGGTTTGTAAATTTATATTACCATTCAACATTATGTTTTTATACTGTGGTGAATTTTAAGTGATTTCTCCTAATGTGTATCCAATTATTGTAATTTAACAGCAAAAAACTGTTTTTTTGTTGCCATTTTAGATACTAACTTTTGGCACTGCATTTTTCAAGCAGGTTGTCCTCTTAAAAGTATAAATTTAAAAATTTTTTATCAGTATATGTAAATATAAAATTGTATAAATAATGTAGAGTATTAAAATTTGCTAATGTGTATGACTTGCTACCTCTAAACCCATAGTGTTGTCGAATGAATAAACTGTTTCCAGACCTTACTGAGACACCAAGCAACCTGACTGTGACACACCTTTATTTATTTATTTATTTATTTATTTATAATGGGACTGGGTTTGAACTCAGGGCTTCCCACTTGCAAAGCTGGTACTCTACCACATGAGCCACATCTCCAGTCCAAGTGGAACAATGTTTTTTTCTTTTCATTCCTTCTTTTTTTCTTTTTTCCTTCTCTTTTGATAGGGTCAGGTTATGTAGCCCAGGCTGGCCTCAAACTCATGGCAGTCCTCCTGCCTTAGCCTACCAAGTGTTGGGATTACAAGCTTGGGTCACCATGCCCAGCAGACCAGTGTGTTTCTATGAGTTGTTGAGATGGAAAACCAGGAAACATTGGCTTTATAATTAAACCTGGATAAGTAAAAATAGAAATGGGATCTTCTGAAATGACACTGTCCATCTTTTACCTAAGTACACAACTTAAATGTGTAAAATTTTCTGCCAAAGTTTTTTCCATCACAATAAATACCCATATAGGAACAGTGGTTCAGACTTTGGTGTGTCATTGGGCCCTTAGCACTGTCCTTAGGGCACTACCAGAGGCTTCTGCAAGATTTGCCCTGAAGTTCTTGTGGTTGCATCTTTTTTCTTTTTGGTGGGACTGGGTTTTTGAACTCAGGGCTTTGTGCTTGCAAAGCAGGTGCTCTACTGCCCAAGCCACACCTCTAGTTCATTTTGCTCTGGTTACTTTAGAGATGAGGGTCTCACAGACTGTTTGCCCAGGCTGGTCTTGAACTGTGACCCTCTTGATCTCAGCTCCCAAGTAGCTAGGATTATAGGTGTGAGCCACTGGTACCCAGCTAGAGCTACATCTTAAGGAGCACCCACCACTGGGCTGAGAAGCTGGTGAGATGCCACACCTTGAGAGAGTCCAGCAATATGAAAGACTGGAACCTGGAACCACTATCCCGGCCTGATTTTCTGCTTCAGTCTCCTCAGAAGGGCTCCAGACATGTTCCTTCAATTGTGCTGTTTTGTTCCATGAGGGAAACTTTGCTGATTTTCAGAAGTAGTTTATTCAGAACTCAAATAGCTGTCCCTTGCAGTCCATGACTTCCTGCAAACTTTTTTAACCTTTGCAGATGAGAAATGAAGGGCTGTGCAGGACTGTGTATCTGCCAGGTTTCTGGGAACAGGAGGCACTCACCATGTCACGTGGTTGAGTAGAGTCCAGCCAGGAGCCGTGGAGTTGCGGCCTGTCTTTCTGAAGGGTGGCATGTGAATTTGGGAGATCCTGTGTGGGCAGACACTCTTTCAGGACTGGATTTGCTCTCCACCTTGCCCACACTGTGAACTTGTGGTCTGTTTCTTTTGCAGAACTCTGGGTACTGATGGATGTGGCTGAGAGCCCTGAACGGGATCCTCGCTCCCCAGAGGATGAAGAGGAACAGCCTGCGCTCTCAGACGATGACATTCTGAGGGAAAGTGGGTCCGACCAGGATTTGGACGGAGCTGGGGGGAGGGCTTCTGATTTGGAGGATGAGGAAAACACGGCTAGGGTACCCAGCCAGGAGGAGGAGAACCGCTCCGATGAGGAGGACCAGGCCAGTGAGCCCAAGTCTCAGGATCAGGACTCTGAGGCCCATGAGCCAAACAGGGGCGCAGTGGGCTCCCCGTGTGAGGAGGTAGATGATGGCGAGGAAGACCAGAGAAGTGACCTCAGGGACGAAGCCTCCTCTGTGACCAGGGAGCTGGATGAGCATGAGCTAGACTATGATGAGGAGGTCCCCGAGGAACCAGCTCCTGCTGCCCAAGAGGATGAGGCCGAGAAGGCTGGGGCTGAGGATGATGAAGAGAAGGGGGAAGGTGCTCCCGGAGAGGAGGGGATGCCTGGTGTCCAAAGTGTGGGAGAAAAAGAACCCACAGAGGCTGCCAAGGAGAAAAAAAAAGACGACGACGATGGAGAGATTGATGACGGGGAGATAGATGTGAGTACAACAGAGCAGGAGCGAGCAAGGCTTCTGCCCTCCGGTGGGCACAGGCTGCTGCAGGAGGACTGACTGTCCATGTGGTTACTTGGTCTCCCTCACTCCTAGAAATGGCGATGGTGGGACAGGCATGCAGGAAGAAGAGAGCATGTGCTGGGGCTGGAAATGGAGAATGGAAACTAGGAAAGCCTGACTGCCAGAGAACCTATCTGTAGCAAGCAGAGTTTGTGATGACCCCTGACAGACCCACACCCTGTAAAGTTCGGCTTTCAGGTGATGGAGAAGGGATGCTAGTAACATGAGTGTAGATGTGGTAGGTCAGGTTTTCAGGGCAGGGGATTCTGTTCAAGAACTTGAATTGGGAGTTTTTTGGAAGAAACAGCCTGAAACTCTGAGCAACACTTTTCAGAACTATTAAATTCAGGGGAGGTGGAGGGGGGAAAGAGCAGATTGAAACCATCTGGGGTTTCTTAGGTGTCCCGAGAAGGAGACTGCCCTTCAGTTATTCTAATGGGAGATGTGTTGGGGAGGAAGCTCACTAGTTGGATGTGTGACCCCAGGGGAAGGAAGCTCACTAGTTGGTTGTGTGACCCCAGGTTTACTGTGTGTGCCCTCCTGTCCAGCAGCGAGGCGGTTCCTGTGTGCCAAGTCCATTTTAAGATGTCATACAACTTAGCTGGGCGTAGTGGCACACAATGATGGCACTCAACTGTGATCCCAGCACTTGGGAGGCAGAGGCATGAGGATTGCAAATCAAAAGCCAAGTTGGGCTACGTAGCCAGACGCTGTGATGTTTCCTGCCATGCTGGGTGGTTGGCAGGGTTGTAGATGTTACTCCCCTGATGTTGGTTCCTAAGAGCAGAACTCTGGGGCATATGTGGCTACAAGCATAGAATCTTAGGTCTTTTGTCTTCTCACTGCTTGGTGCAAAAAGTGGTCTCCTGAGTTAATGACCTGCTTAATATAATCTTATAAGGACTTTGTTGTGTATAGGTTTCCTTGTGCTTTGCCATATGTACTTACACTGTGGGGCAATTTGTCTGTACCCCAAGGTTGGCAGAGAGAAGAGATGCTGTGAGACGCACGTTCATCAGTTTGGGTGGAATTGTGAGTTGTGCTTCCTGTGAGTTTGTTGGGTTTTGGTATTCTAGGGAGGAAACCCCTGTCTGCTGGGGTGCTGGACATTCCCTTTGCACTTGTGAGGACCTGTTGTAGACCCCTCCTGCTGCCACCGTTGAATAAGTACTAGGGGAAAATTCATCAAACAGGCCAAGGGTCTCCCTAGTGGTCATGAGGCCTTTGCCAATGGAGACACTGGTGAACACTCACTCTGCACTGTGGGTATTGGTGTCTGTGGTGGGGAGATGTATTGAACTGAGCCCTCCCTAGACAGTGCCTGTGGTCTTGATCTGCTGATTTCCCCTAGAAACAATGTAGGGAATGACTATAGCTTGGCTTTCCTGTCCACTTAGACACTGTAGTGTGGTTTTGTTGTGCCAACCCTGCATATCAACCTCTTGTCAGTGGCCCGGCAGCCTTGTTGGAAAGAGTGTACTGCTGAGAGGCCCCAACCCGGCGTCCTTCAGCAGCAGAGGCACTTCCTTCCCACTGCATCCAGACTGTGCCTCCAGCCCTCAGGGCTCCTACTGACTTGAATGCAGTCCTGGGGACCTTTGACATGTCCCAGGCCCATGATAACCATCTGGGGATGTGATAGGGCAAAGTAGGACTGGTCCCTGCTGTGGGGACAGTACCCCTTAACTGGATGGGCGGGCACCGTAGATGGTAGTTTCAGCAGGCGAGCACACTGACTCCAGGCTAGCCACTACTTTCCCTGGTAGCTCCTGTGGTCTCCTCTGCTGTTGCTCTGCGTCCCAGACTCCTTCTCATCCTTGCTTTGTGTGTTGATCTGAATGTCACCTCCTCGGTGCAGGCTCATGCCACTCACCCACCTCTGCTGTGACTTCTGACTTACCACCTTTGTACACGAATCTCGGTTGGCTGGCTTCTTTGTATGTGTGCTGCTTTCCTAGCCCCCGTCCTAAACCAGGACACTTAGCGGGTCACCTCTGTGTCCCAGAGTCTGGCACATGGCAGGCAGTGCATCAGTGACTTGTTGAGCAAGTAGATGACCCCCACTTGCTTGGGGCACACTCAAGTTGAGAGCCTTGGAGGTGTGAAGCACCAGTGGGCAGGTGTTCACTGGAGAACCATTTGTGTTCAGTGGGAGCCTGAGAGCCAGAGTCCACCCTCCAGTGCAGAGTATGTCAGCTTGTGCATGGAGAACATTAGCTTTCCTGCTGGCCTGAATTTTTCCTGCTCTCGGGCCCCCTTCCAAATCTGTCATCCTATTGGATCTTGCCACATCTCCCCAGATACACATCCTGTATCTGTCTTAGAGGGCCCTGCTGGCATTCATACACTGTGTCCCATCCCTCTCTCCAGGAGCATTGCACTGAGTGCCTGAGGCTTCCAAGCAGGGCCCTGGGCTGGTCCCCTTTACTTTAAATCCCTAGAAAGTAACCTCTGCTCTTACTGGAGACCACATTTTTTAGAAGGCACCTCCCATTGCATTCAAGCAAAACTCTAGTATCAGGTGTATACCACCTGGATGCTGTTAAGAGGAAGAAATGTGCACTTTGGTTTTGCTTGCCCTCAAAAGTGGATGTTGGTGGGCCAGGCGTGGTGGTACATGTCTGTAATCCCAGCACACAGGAGGCTGAAGCAGGAGGATCTGAAGTTTGAGGTCATCCTGGAATACAAGACAAGACCCTATCTTGGTACCCCCACCCTAAAAAAAAAAAAAAGGAGGGATGTTGATGAGGCTCTGAAGTGTTCGCTTCCCATTAGAGACTTGGTGGCCCAGCCTGTATAAGAGGTGCTTCTGTTCAGAGCTGCTTCTGCCCTTCTCCTTAATGTTCCTTGGAGAGCTATTTATCTGTATCGTCCTTTTAGCTCCACTTTTCTCCTCCCAGTGGATATCACTTTCTTCTCTGATCAATTTTGAGTCATTGGAACTGAAGTTAAGGTCCAGATTCTTTGATTGGGACATCAATTTGTACAGTAAACCTGTGAGATTCTCTTGTCTGAACTGCACAATTTTTGCCTGAGACCTTGAATTGCCTGTATATGTTTCTGGTATCAGACCATCCCTCAAATATGAACGCTTTCAGGCAGTGTCCCTTGCCTGTGTGATCAGGATAAGTTCACACACAGGACTGTGTGCCAGCAACATAGAGCATCTGCTTGCTGCTGGTGTGGCAGCAAGGGTATCCCTGGTAGCTGACCCTTTGTGAGCAGGTGTACCTGCATGAGAGCTGCACAGAGAAGGAAGTGTGGCATGGCCTTGCTTCTACCTCTGCCTTCTCAGGAGAGTGAATGGAACCTGCCTGGATTCGCATCCTGCCTCCTAAGGGCTTTCTTCCTCCTATACATCTGGTTAGCCTTGCACCAGGCTACAGTGCCATGATCAGCTCCATTGATCATTGACAGTTTGGCTTTGTGTTACCAGCTCAAGTTCTGCCTTATCTTGTTCTTTTATGTCTCATCTTTTGGTTAGCAGACTGTCAGTCATCTGGAGTATTCCATCCCTTTGGGAAGGGCAGGAGACATGTTTGCTCCATTCTTCCTCTGGTTCCAGGGCTGCCCACAGGAGGCGTCTCAGCTGAGAGGCTGATGGTATTTGTGGTGGGAGTCTCAGCTACAGGTTTATAAGAACAGGCCTTGGACAGTGGGTGGCTGGGGATAGCACAGAGCAGTGGTCAGGTTTTGGCTGCTTATTCGAACCCCTGGGCATAAGACCAGGCTTTGGTCTTTGTAAAACTCCAGGGTCCTTCTAAAATTGGACAGCAAGGTAAGGGACTCTTAATCAAGAATGAACCACAAGTGGTCTTGCTGACCTGAGTCACCTAACCTCCCCCACAAGACATTTAAGTTATAGGAAGTGCTTGATCTTGAGGGAAGAAAATAATTTGTTCTATCACTACAGATGCAAGAAAAAAAGAGTCCTTGTACTTTCTGTCTGTCTGATTGTGGCAGCCAAGATTGAGTAGAGGAATACAGGGAAAAAATCTTTTGTTTGAATTTATAAAATATTAAAAGTCCAAGGATAACCATTTTCTGTCCAAAGTTAAGAAAAATAGAATTAAAACTCTGCTCAGTAAAGTGTCCAACTTTACTTTGATGCAGTGTTCTTCCTGTGGCCCTCAAGCTTGTGGGTGAGGTTTGATCAGTCCTGTGCAGCTAGGAATCCAAGATTGGGAAAATTGACATGAAATGGTGAGTGGCCCAGATAAAACTTGTGGAAAGTGTCAAAGTTCCCCACACCCAGCTCTTGTGCTTTCCTGGCTTGGTGAAAGTGGTACAGAGGGTAGATGGTGCCCACCTTGTTAAGACAATTGTCCTCTGTTCTAGGATGATGACCTGGAAGAAGGTGAAGTGAAGGACCCCAGTGACCGGAAGGTGAGGCCTCGTCCCACCTGCCGATTCTTCATGAAAGGTAATTGTCTGTGTGGGGCCTTTGCGCACCATCCATGTGACTTTGGCTTTTCCTGGGCTCAGCGTCATCAGGGGCTCATGCTATGCAAGGCTGTTCTTAGGGCCAGACTCAACAGTTGGTGGTAATGGTGATGAAATTAGCAGTGAACAACAGACCCTTTACTGGCCCTTTCCTCTCTTTAAAAACTGGAGAGAAGCCAGCCTGGGCATTTTCACAGTGTGGTTCCCAACCCACTGCTTACAGCAGACCCATGGCTGCAACAAATGGTAGCAGTCACTTTTCTAAGTGGTCCTTTATATAACACCAGAGCTCCAGTGCCAATGTTAGCATTTCATGTCCTCCTCTGCAAGAGATGACCACTTTCAGCCAAATGTTTCAGAAGCACGTCCTTCATTTAGGAGGACTTGGAAGTAGCAAGGGAGGGCCTCCGAGGGCTGCAGACTCTCCTGAGAGGAACTGTGTGAGTTAATTAACTGTATCAACGGGCCACTTGATAAAATCTTGCTGTAAAAATGAGGACTAGGGCTTAGCAAGTGTGAGGTCCTAAGTTCGAATCCCAGGACCACCAAATATGTGTAGATTTATATAATATATATATATGCGTATATATGTACATATGTATACTAACTCCATGTTAACACGTAGCCTAGTCCTTTAGCATGATGATGTTAAGGCTTTTTGTTCTGTTTTGTGACTTTATGGGGGATTCAGAAATGGAAATGAGTATTTCCAGTCCGTGAGGGTCTCTGGAGTTCAGCAGTCATCTGGGCATGTGTCCTATAGTAAGCATTTTCCTCAGACAGGTGGGAGATGCTTTTCTCATGTCCTTAGATGACTTGGCCAGCCTGCGTGTACACTCTAAAGTTCACAAGAGCTTCCTGTACTTCTTTTCCAGATGTTGTGACACCATTATCCACTCTTCTTCCACCAATACCAAATTCCATACCATTCAGAGGCCAGGTTAAAGGTACAAATATCCTGTATTCACTCTCTTTAGTACCTTAAAGTCCCCTGAACCACAGCCCAGACTTCTTTTGTTTTGGATCCAGAGCACAGCTGGGATGCCAGAAGGAAGGGTGGCTTTGAGGGGCAGAGAGCTATCACAGATCCTCCTCCTCAGAGGCATGAGAGCCAGTGGAGGAGGCGCAGCTGAGGCTGTGGCAGTGTGCTTGGGGGGGCAGGGACTTCTGCAGTGGAGTCCCATCTGTGGACAGGGCAGGCTCTGTTCTCAGAATGACTGAGAGAGGTCCTGATGGGAGCCCCTGCTCAGGCTTTCACCTCTAGGGTATGTGCCCTTGGCATACTTATTTTTTGCCAACTGAAAACAGTTGGCCCTATCTGAGTAACACATGAGATGGGCCTACATGGACTGTGGACCTAGGGCTGACACAGCTGTGTGCTATGGAGAGACCATGCGACAATCATCACAGCCACCCTAAGAATGTGAAGCATTGCATGCTATATCTTAGTTCTTCAAAAACTTTGGTATTTTACTTGTCAGCATTTCAGAAATTTTAAACATAATCAGAAGACCTCTTTCCCATACTGGTGTAGGAATAAATGATACCTGTCCATCCCAGATTCCTAGACTAACGTGACTAAAAATCTGCACATACACACATGAATGTATCTGCACTGCTCAGAGACTGCCTTGTGCAGTGCTCTGGTCCTGGTGGCTCAGAAGCATGGCCAGCTGATCAGGATTGGCCCACAGTGCCCACAGCAGGAAGCAGCAGGGGACCCATCCCTGCCTAGAGACTCTGGACCCAGTAGCTGGAGGCACATACTGCTGAAGTAGCTCTCAGAATTTAACAGAAGCACAAAACAGATAACATGAGATTGTTACTGGAAATGGAAACTGGATCTCTGGGGGACACCTGCACACACAGGGCGGACACACTGCCTGCATGGCCATCATACCAGGTGGGCAGGGTAGGAGCTGCTACCCCTGCATTGGGCTCAGTGGTGCTCTTGGGTTTCCGTGAGTGGGACCACGGGGTGGCGGGGGGGGGCGGGGGGGGGGGGTTCTGCAGTTGAGAAGTTGGAAACTAAAGCCAGCGGTAGTTTCTGTGGTTTATTTGAACATGATTAGTAACTTATGCAAAGAGTGCTTTAAAATGTATTTTCCTTTCCCCTTATCCTGTGTGTTTATAATGTCATGGAGTATGAAAGGAAGGGACTGTATTTTTTTCTCAGTTTTCTAGATACTTTCTTAGCTACAAGAAATTTATTTGGACACAGATGCTTTTGCTTACCTTTAATTGATAAGCTTGGTATGAAATTGAAGTGAATTGGTTTAAGATTCCTTCAGTAATGAGAAGTTACTTTAAAAATAAAACAGAATTTGTTGTGCTGACAAGGTCATGTGACATACATAATTGGAAACCTTGCATACAGCTATCAGGAAGGTAAAATGGTGTGGCCATTTTGGAAAACAGTCTGTTCCTCAGAAGGTACAGGACAAGCTGGGCACCAGTGGCTCATGCCTGTAATCCTAGAGCTACTCAGAAGGAAGAGATCAAGAGGATCACAATTCGAAGCCATCCTGGGCAAACAGTTCACAAGACCCTATCTCAAAAAAACCCATTAGAAAAATGGGCTGGCAGAGTGGCTCAAGAGGTAGAGTGCCTGCCTAGTAGGCATGAAGCCCTAAGTTCAAACCCCCAGTACCACCAAAAACAAAAAGGTTATAGACCAGAGCTAACCATATGGCACAGTAATTCCGTTTCTAGGTATTTGTCCAAGAGAAATGTACACAGCAGGATGCTTCACAATAACAAAAGTATGAGACAACCCAGATGTCTGAAAACTGATGAGGGGACAAGCAAAGAAACATTCGTCAGTCACAAAGGGAATGGAGCCTGATTCAACACCGTGTGGGTGAAAATGTGGAGTAGAGCCAGGTGCAAGCAGTCCGTGTCGGGATTCCATTTCTGTGAAAATCCACGCGACAGAAAAAGGGCTCGTTGTTGCCTTGGCTGAGAGCTGGTGACTGCAGGGTCCCTACTTGGGGTGCTAGGATGTTCTGGAATTGATGGCTGCACAACTTTGTGAATATACTTACAGGCACTGAATTATACACTTTAAGCTAGGGAGTTTTATGGTGAATTATATTACATTGAGAAGTCTTCTTAGAAATCGCTTAGCTACATTGGTTAATGTTTTAATTGCCCAGTGAACACATTGACATTTGAAACCACAAAATTTACTGGAGACAAAGCTTGTGAACGTTTTATTAAAGAAATGACACTGTGATGTTTGGGTATGAAATGTTCCCCCAAAAGGCTCGTGTGTTGAAGACTCGTGCCCAATGCAGCAGTGGTCAGAGGTGGGGGTTGGGGAAGTGCTTGGAGCTGGAGCCCGAGCGGACTATTGAAGGTGCTGGGACTGTGAAGGTGGGGCCTAGCTGGGGGAGTGGGTCACTGGGGGTGTGCCCTGGAAAGATAGTCCTGTCCCCGGCCTCTTGTTAGCCATGAGATTAGCCACTTTGCTCCTCCGTGGGCTCCTGCTGCCCTGCTGTTCTGCCTCACCTCAGGTCCAGGCTGACGGAGCCAGTGGCCCTCAGCCGGAAAGCTCTGAGCCCAAAGGCATAAGGAGTCTCTTCTTCTCTTAGGTTGTTGTCTCCGGTATTTATCGTAGCACTGGAGCTATAGCCAGCATCCTTGTTCAGGCTACATTCCTAACTCTCGTGTCTGTCAAGTCAGGACGCAAAGTCCATTCACAAGTAACAAATAGCATTTCTTGTTTTTAAAAAGTGACCCACTTTGGCTTCTGACGTATCCTTTATGGACAAGCACCCAGCCTTCTCTGCGGGCTAAAATACATTTTGTATCACAAAATTTACCAGTTACAGTTAGTGTCACTAAATATTCTCAGACTATTGAGTGGCTGCCACCACTACCACACTTTCATCTGCAAGACAGAGACCACTATTCCCCATTTTCTCTGCCCTCCAACCGCTGATACCACTGTGCTCCATGATCTCACTGCTGTAAGGACCTCATACAAGTGGAATTGTGCAGGATTCGTCCTTTGGGGTCTGGCTTATTTTGCTTAGTACCATCCTCAAAGTTCATCTGTGGTATAGCATGTGCCAGAATTCCCTTCCTTTTTTTAAGGCTAAATAATATTCCACTGTATATATAGACTATATCTTATCTGTTTACCCGCAATGTATAGCTTTTGACTATTGTGAATAACACTTGCTATAAATGTGTGTGCAAGTATCTCTTTGAAACCATGCTTTTAATTCTTTTGGGTGTAGACTCAAAAGTGGAAGTGAGATCACCTGGTAATGCTTTGTTTGTCTGTTTTGTTTGCTTGTCTTCATGGTGCTGGGGACAGAACCCAGCGCGTTGCTCATGCTAGGCAAGCGTTCCACCACTGAGCCAACCCCAGCCCTGCTTTTAATTTTTTGAGGGACTGCCCACAGTGGCTGCACCACGTTGTGTTCTCACTCTCATGGCACAGGGCTCCATCGTCCCCACATCCTCGCCGACATTGCAGCTTCCCACTCTGCAGCAGCACTTATAGCGGTAGGTGGCATCCTGTGGGTTTGATTTGTGTGTCCTTGGTACCTAGTGTTGTAGAGCTTTTTGACACGTTACAACCACTCGGGATCTCCCCTAGAGATGGCTTTCACTCATTTTGAATCCCTGCACTCTTGTGTTTAAAGCAGCAGGTCTGAGATTATGGCCTTGGGACCCCTAGGCGTCCTTCAGACCCTTGTAGGGACCCTAAGGTTAAAACTGTTTTTATATTAATATGTGAGACTGTACTAGTAAGAAGACACTCACCACCATGTACTCAGATGTAAATATCCCAGTTTCATTTAATGTCTGGATAGCAGTAAGAATTACAGTTTAGTTAAATTTTATTCTTGAGCATGGGTGTTTGTTGTTGTTGTTTTGGTTTTTTTCCAGTACTGGGAGTTGTACTGAGGCCCTCACACTTGCTAGGCAGATGCTCTACCACTTAAGCCATACCTCCGTACTTCCAGTCCATAGTACCAGTCTTTTCTTTAAAAAAAAAAAAAATCCTTTATGGAGTTATAATTTACATGCCATGAAACTCATCCATCTTAAGTGTACAAGTCAGTGATTTTTAGTAAATTTGCCAAGTTGCACAGCCATCACGACAGTCCAGTTCTAGAGCATTTCTGTTACCCAGCAGGACATGCCCTCTCAGTCATGTGATGGGACTTCCGTGTACACTGACCTTTGCTCACCCTGAAGTCTCAGGCACTGGAGGGACGGTGCCTGTGGAGATCTGAGTTGTGGCTGGTAGGGCAGGCACCATGTTGACTCAAGAGAAGTGGACAGATGCAACACGGAGATGGTACCCTGAGCAGGAAGGGCACGAGCATGCTGCTTTGAGGAGGACAGGGCAGTCTTGTGTTGGTGATGTTCAAATCTGCATTCTCATGTCAAAATTGGACTCTGCTACTGTAAGTGTGACCGCTTCCCAGTGTGCAGCAGATTCTCCAGCTGAGCTCCAGGCAGAGTTAAAGCCCTGTGCCTGGTCAGGATTACCATTCAGGGTTCAGTGAGCATGTAGCTAGGCTGCAGGGCCCTTGTGTGGAGATCTGTGGTGTTGGTAGTGAGAGCACCTGGAAGCACCTAGGTCTGGCACCCTCACCTGTCCAGCCAGAGCCACTGCTCAGCATTGCACCCAGTGTAGGTACAGAGGATCCTACTGCAGCTGTAAGCAAAGAATCTGCACAAAGAAAAACCAGTGTTTAAAATATTTTCATAAAGCATTTGTGTTGCCATATTTATTTAGTCTTTAACACAGTAAAAATAACTCACACAAACAAAGGCTGACTGGGCTGCCAAGACCAAAAAATTAGAGAACTACTGGTCTCAAGTCTACATTATTTGAAAAGAAGCAGCCGAAAAAATAATTTCTGTTCTAACAGCTACCACTGTGAGTGTATTCCCAAAGCATCTCAGCCTCACTGGAGAGGTGCCTTGGTTTTCTGCCAGCCTTTGTCACTGGCACCCAGTGTGTGGGCTTGCTCACCAGGTTTCAGGCCTGTTAGGACACAGATTCATAGATCTGAGGTTTGCCCTCCAGGTTTAATTATTACATGTTTGTACAGTCTGCCTTTCATGAAGAGTTTTCTTTAAAAACAAGCAAAAACAGAAAGTACTTTGACCTTTAGTTTACCTTGACAGACTTTTTTTTTTTTTTTACCCTTTTGGAGTCGTTCAGACTAGCTGGCAAGGAGAACACAGCTACTTAAATAGGACTACTTTGTTTACAGTCTGAGTGTGAAAGTCTTTTTATGCAAAATAGACATGAAATTTTCTCTACTGCCCTAGCTTCGCACATGCATAGTGGGGGCAGCCAACAAATCAAAAACTTCAAAATCTGGCAGCCTGTGAACCTAAGACACCCGTGTGAGCTCTCTCGCATAGACACTGCATGTCTGCTCTCACCTAAGTCCCTACACGGTGAAGAGGTGGATCCCTGACTGTTGGACCAGTGGGTTGTAGCCAGCTGCAGGTGAGAAGTGCAGCTGCCTTCTCCTGCCATCTGTCCAGCTTCCTGGATTTCTGCTGAGGGACCTACAGGGGTCTCTCTACATACATTTAGTCCATTCACTGGTACAGTTTGATCTGTTGCTTTTGGGCATGCAGGCTCCTGTTTTGTGGGTAGATTGTTCAGTGAAAGAAAGCGAGTTTCAGCACAGGCAGTATAATATGCCCAGGAAAAACTAGGGAAGTATACAGCGAGTGAGTGGTTGTGCCCCAATAAGTAGATAACTCCCTCTGGCAGAGGGTCCAGAGGTTGGAGTAGAAGAAAGACTTCAGTGTGTGCCTCTTAGAATGTGGATACTTGTTATTTACATGCATTCCCATTTTTACTATGAAATATTTCATACCTATAAAATGATAGAGTTTGCACATGCATAAAGATGAGTGTAAGAATTGCTGAGATACCTACCATGCAGTTAAGAAAAAGAACTTCTTGCCTTTGAAGCACTGTGTGCCAAAACTAGCACTTAAGGATTTCAAGGTGAAGCTGTTGTCCCACCTGGCCCAGCAGTCTCCTCCCTCCTCATCCCTCTGGCTTGTGTCTGGCTGCAGACCAGGTCCTTGCACAGAATCTGAGGCCTGTTTCTTTGCATAGTCCACACAGAATTTGCATGTGTTTGCTTGGTTGTTCACTTATTTACTGTGGTACCATGCTTGAACTCGGGCCTTGTGCCTACTAGGTAAGTGCTCTACCACTTGAGCCACACCCCACGCCCTTTTAGCTTTAATTATTTTTTTTCTTTCTTTTTCTTTTTTTTTTTTCTTTTGGTGGTACTGGGATTTGAACTGAGGGGCTCACACTTGCTAAGCAAGTGCTGTACCACTCGAGCACTCCACCAGCCCAGCTTTAGTTATTTTTCAAATGCAGTCTTGTGCTTATGTCTAAGCTGGACTGAGATTTTCCTTTTTTTACAGCCTCCCACATAGCCAGGATTACAGGTGTGTGCTCCCATGCCCAGGTATTTCTTGGTTGAGATGAGGTCTTGTAAAGTTTTTGCCTGGACTAGCCTCGAAATGCGATTAAAAGTGTGAGCCACTGCTGTAAAAGATAATTTTTTAAACTTATGAATTATTTATTTCTGGAATTTTCCATGAATTTCTGTTAGCATATGTTAATTGTACCAAGGGGTTTCATTGTCATATTTCCAAGGTTTTGTGTCAATGAAGCTGTATTTAGAAACAGAAGACCATAGTGTTCTCAAAAGACCTTTATTTTTGCTTCCATTTCCTTTTTTCTTAAGTTATGGAAGTAATATGTGTTAACGGTAGCCAGGAATTAAAAGATAGGGCTGGGGATGTGGTGCAGTGGTAAAGCGCTTGCCTAGCATGACCTTGAGTTCAGTCCCTACCACAGGAGCAGAAAAAGAAAAGGTAAAGGCTTTCTCTGCACAGTCCAGGCGGTTTGGTGGGATTCTGCCAGACTTCTTTTCATACCAATGGAAGATCGTATCTAAAAAAGATACGATCCTTGTCTTTCTGTCTAGTGTTTGCTGGACACTTGTTCTGGCCATGTGGCAGGACAACAACCCTTCTGCAGCCGTCTTCCTCTTGATTTTGGTGGGAAGATTTCAGGCCACCTCTCAGCAGGGCCCTGGCTTAGCACCCAGGAGCAGGCAGGGTCCACACGCCCAGGCTCTTACCCAGCACCTTGCTGTCCTCTTGCCTCATGCGCTCTGCCCTCTTCTCTCTGTGCACGAGAAAGCGGGCCTGTGGGTGGTGGTTTGGTTTTGTTTTCAAAAATTGTAAATATAGAAAAATAACAAATACCCGTTCATCCACCAACAAGATATTTTAGGCAAAGAAAATTGCTGAAATTCCATAATTTGTATTTGCTTAGATGTTTTCTCCAGTGACCTTTTGTTACATTTTAATTGCACAAGCAACACTGAATGGACATGAATATTGCAAGAATCAGTCCATGACATTGCTGATGCTTGTGATCTTTGGATGCTAAACTATGTAGTGTTTGTTTGTTTGTTTTTTCTTTTGACTGAACTGGAGTTTGAACTCAGGGATAGGCAAACACTGTGCCACTTGTGCCACACCTTCAGCCCTGCTTGTCTTTAGGTTGTCTTTTAGATAGGTTCTCACTTTTAGCCTGGGCCAGCCTAGGACTATGATCTTCCTACCTCTGCCTCCTGTGTAGCTGAGATGACAGGCGTGAACCACCATGCCTGGCTTGTTTGTTGAGATGAGATCTTGGTAACTTTGCCTGGGCTGGCCTTGAACCGTGATCTTCCCAGCCTCTGCCTCCCAAGTAGCTGGGATTACAGACATAAGCCACTGTACCAGGCCTTGTTCTTTCTCTACAGCTCTCTGAGACTCAGGGATTCTTAACCCCCATAGGATAGTAATTTCCAACTTCTTTTGACTAACGTGTGATCTTTTAATATTTTTAGAAGTTAAAAAAAATATTTTGTCATTTCTGCATTTCTAGAGAAGCAATTTTGTGTGTACTTTGTGTTTAATTTAGATGAAAATGCTCTTATGTCATATTGAGTTGATCTTAATGCAAGCTTAAGTATTTGTAATGTTTAAAGGTAATATTTGGCTTTTTTCTAAATACCAAGTAATCGTTTCTATTTAATTATATAATGGAAAATGTGATTTGTAGACAGAAATGTTAAAATGGTATATCATAGTACTGAATTTTTTAAATGATTTAAAACCCTATCTACATGTTAACCCATTGAAAAATGGTTTTAAAACCACTTAGATGCAGTCAGGCATGGTGGGGCATACTATAATCCCAGCTACTCAGGGGTCAGAGGCAAGAGGATCATGGTCCAAGGCCAGCCTGAGCAAAGTTAGTGAAACCCTGTCTCAAACAATGCAAATAAGGGCCGGGGCCTGGCTCAGGTGGTAGAACACTTGCCTACCACACGTGAGACCCTGGATTCAATCCCCAATACCACAAAAATCCATAAATAAAGAAATAACTCTTTGATGTTATGTGCTGCATTTGCTTTTAAATCGTGTGCACGTGCTATGTGTATGTGCTACCACGTATGCACGTTATCTTTCAAAATAAATTGTAAAAAAGTGGCACACTTGCTGTTGAGATGACTTACCTTCTGCACTGAGAAGCTGAGAGTTTTCCTTTGATAATCCTGGCTCTTGTTACTGGACATGACAGCTATTTGTGAGCAAAGTGTAATAGCCCAACTTTTTTATAATTGTTGGCATGATTTTAATTTTTCACACATTGTTTAAGTACCAGAGTTATCCTGAAGTGGTTTGTGAGGATTTTGATGAGACAGTGCAAGAGTATGGAGGTGGTGAGACTACTCGGGACAGAATTGCTGGCTTTGTAACTGTTGGAGCTTCCCATTGGTTCTGCTGTGGCGTGAACGTTTTCTGAATCCAGATAAAAATGGCCCCATGTGCCTGCCATGTGGCCTGGAAACTGGAGCGCTGCCTCTGCACCAAGGTCCCAGGCCTTCCAGGCTCTCGCTGTTCTGTTTTAGTTTGTACTCAGACAGGTGATGTTATAGCCTCCCCTAGTCCCTGGGGGTTGAATTATTCCTAGAACCTGTGCACATCCTCCTGTACTTTGTGCCTAACTGTAAATGCTGTGTAGATTGTTGCTATACTATATTGTTTGGGGGATAGTGACAAGATAAAAGTCTGTACGTGTTCAGTACAAAGGCAAAGAATGTTTTTTATCACAGTTGGTGAATTGAATGCACAGAAGCTGCATGAGAGTCAACTGTATGGCCTCTTTACAAAGTGACTTTGAAACAGGGCTTAGGTGTCCCCAACACCCAACAGGAGCCCTCATGTAGGGACGTTGTTCCACATCAGTTCCCGGCTGAGCCGGCAGCCCAGCCTGTGTGTGCTGAGGGAGAGGAGGGCAGGGCCTCTGACCCTGGGCCACTTGCAGGCTGTTAGGACATCCCAGGTCCTCAGTAAGTGCTTCTGCCCATGCACCTGGCTGCCACCCTCATGCAGTACCTTGGGCTCTTGGTGACCTTGCTGACCTGAGTTTTGTTTCCATAGGGAACTGCACCTGGGGAATGAATTGCAGGTTTATACATCCTGGAGTGAACGACAAGGGGAACTACTCCCTCATCACCAAAGCCGACCCGTTCCCACCTAACGGTGCCCCACCTCTCGGACCTCACCCCCTGATGCCTGCCAACCCCTGGGTGCGTGCATACCTCTTCCCAAATTGCCAGCAAATTAGACGTCCAAGCTCTGTCTTGTGAGCTTTGTGGGGAAAGCATGTTGTGCGGAGGAGAGCCAAGGAGCTGCCTTTCAGTTCGGACGTTCCAGAGACGCATGAGGCTTGGGTGGGAGAGCTAGTCACGTGTGGCCAGCTCGGCTTTTAGTTGATGTTTTTGCTCCCCGGTTTGCTTGCAAACTTCCACTTGCTTTCTCAACATTTCTCTTCTCATTTTTTAATAGGGTGGGCCAGTAGTTGATGAAATTTTGCCTCCACCCCCTCCAGAACCCCCAACAGAGAGTGCCTGGGAACGAGGACTCCGGCATGCAAAGGAGGTAGCAGTCCAGCATACCCTGAGAGGAAAAGCTGCAGTGGCACCCTTCCTGTGGTGGCCTTCACGGTGTCCCTGCAAGAGCTAGTGCAGTCTTGACCCAGCAACAGTGATAGAAGCTCAGTAAAGGGCTAGAAGCTATGGTGATATTTCTGTGCTTCCCTTAAGAGTCAGAGAATGGGAAATTATGTCTACTTACCTCTGTAAGGCAGTTCAGGTTACGAAGTGCAAACCCAGGGAGGCCCAGCCCAGGGCACAGACCTGCCATATTTAGGTGTTTGGAGCAGCTCAGAAGACAAGGTGTCACCTCTAGCCACCTCCTGAGACAGTTTTCAAGACAGCAGCCCTGCCACTCCACTGGGGCCTCCTCTCGTACCAGACTTTGGCCCTGTTCACAGTCTGGGGACCAGAGTCTGCTGGCACCTGGCCCACTTTTGTAGTACTCCTAGTCCTTCTGCCCTGGGAGACACAGACAAAGCCCTTCCCTGAACACCCTCTGCAACTCAGCCTTGTCACCCAGGAACCCTCTTGAATTCCATGGTCCTGTTCCTCATGAGCTCTAGTGCCAGGCTGCCAGGGTTCCTGGGTCCCTAACAGTGATTCTGCGTGCCGTGACTCCACACTGATGTCTCTCTTTCTCCATGGTAGGTTTTAAAAAAAGCAACCATTCGGAAAGAACAGGAGCCTGATTTTGAAGAGAAAAGGTTTACCGTGACCATTGGTGAAGACGAACGAGAGTTTGACAAAGAAAATGAAGTTTTTCGAGATTGGAATTCTCGGGGCCCAAGAGATGTCAGAGACACAGCGTAAGGAATGTTCTGCCTCTTCCTCCCTTTTGAAGAATTGATAGGGCTGGCGGAGTAGCTCAGGTGGCAGAGCACCTGCCTAGCAAGTGTGAGGCCCTGAGTTCAAACCCCAGTACCACCCCCCCCCCAGTAAAAAAGAGAAAGAGAATTGAGTTTCCCCTGGGTAACCCATGCTCTGACAAGAGCACAGCGGGTCCCCAGGGCACCCTTGGGGTTGGTGCCACCCAGCCTTGCTAGATTTGGAATACCACCCCTGGGCTAATTGAGACTCTTCTTTCAGTCACTGCTCCTTGGTCTGCTTCCTTGTGGAAGGTGCTTTAGCTTGGTGCTGTGGGCTTTGTTACTAGGCATGCACACACCTGTGGTTTCTGAGGACTTTTGCAGCCCCTGAGTCTGTGTCTCTGTCTCCCCACCCAGGTTCCCAGGAAATGTGAGGTTTGTCACTGCAGTCTTAAGAGCATGGCAAGTGTGGTCCTCTTGCCGTAAAGGGTGTCAGTTATTTGTGCTCCCCAGACTTTTAATGCTGGTCTTTGAAAATCGTGATAGAGGGAGTGTGTGATGTTGAGGAGCACAGGTCATGGACTAAAATGTGCTGCTCCCCTCTCCCTGCTTCTGCCCCCAGTGGTTCTTCTTGAAAGGGCAAAGTTTCTTCCATAGGGGGGTGAGGCAAGGGCTTCAGTACAGGAGCTAAACTGTAACCACTCAGTGGTCCTCATTGTCTATAGCACTACCTCAGTTGTGTAGCAGTGGTTGCTGCTGGAAGTCAGTCACTGCCATTCCTGAGTGGCTGAAAAGAGTAAAAGGTGCAACAGGAAGACGTGGGCAGGGTGGTATGTGTGTTCAGTGCCCAGGGCTGTTGTCCAGGACCCCTTGTTGGGTTGTGCCTCCCCTGAGCTAATCTGCATGGGTAGGGGTGGGACAAGTGCCCCAGGGACCATGCTGTCCAGGCGGGAAGCCAGCTTGGAGGGTGACGAGGCAAAGGTTTCAGGATGATGGCAGTCCCCTCTGGTCCATGCCTTTGCATTCCTACTCGCAGTTACCATGCCTGAAACCACACAGTGAAAAACTCCAGAAGTAAGCAATTAGGAGTTTCTAATAGTTTATCGTTATTCTACATGATGGTTAGTTCTTAATCTCTTACTGCGCCTCATTTGTAAATTGAACTTTACCATAGGTATGAAGGAAAAAGCAGTCTTTTAGTGTTCAGTACTCCATAGAACAAGTAGAAGCAGATCTGCCAGAAAGAGCAAGGACTGCTGTAGTTAAAAAGTACATGTTCTAGTTAAATTCTGTACATGGACAGCGTCAAGTTAGAAGCACTTGAGTTGAAACTGAGTCTGGCCTTGCTGTCTGCGGGTCTCCTTGGTTTGTGGCCAACACTGGGAGGCCCACTCTCGTGTGATGCATGGATAATGATGTCCTTCCTGCCTTGTCATGTGTCCGTGAGAGTCTGGGAGCTAGAGTGCACAGTCTGGAGCACTGTGAGAAGCACAGAGTTCTCTGAGTGTGGTGTTCTGAGTGGAAGGGAGGGGTGTGGGAGCTTAGGCTTGGTCCTGGACACACCGTATTTCTGCCTTCCTTGATGGAGCAGGTATGGTGTGTGCCTGACTGCAGGCAGTCCAATGGCCAAGGTTCTATGACACCCTCGGCTTTATAGCATGCCTCACTTGGTGCAGAAGCAGTCTCCAGGCCTGCCTTGTGTTTGGTGCTGGGATGTAGAAGCTGGCTCCTGGCCCTGTATCTTTCTGACAGGAGCAGGTGTCTGCACTGCAGGTCCTCTGCTGCTAAAGCCTCTGCAGACAGGACTGAGGTTTGCCTCGGGTGTCTGAGAACTGACTGTGTTGTGTTTTATTTTTTTTTAACATCTCTGTGCCTCTGAGTTGACATGGGGACCTTTGTGCCAGACTCCACTCAGACTTGCTGAGTCAAGATCTCTGTGATAGCACTCAGTGCTTCTCATGGGCACTGGGGAAAAGACAGTCAGGGTCCTGGCCAGAGGCTGGTTACAGTGATGGAGTGTCCAGTGGGAAGGCATGTGGACCCGTTGATGGCAAAGTACTGGAGGGAGCTGGTTTAATTTAAAGAATAGTCAGACAGAAGCACCTGCACTGCCCCTGCTGGGTGTGTCTGACAGTTGCTTCTCAGCCAGGACCTTAGGGCTCCTCTCCAGAGAGGGGTGGATTCACTCCACTTGCCCCAGCTGAGTGTGATGCTGCCAGAGCTCTGGGTACATGGGGAACCTGTGTGCGCCAGCTACTGAGTGTGATCAGAAGACTGTGGCTGTGAGTGCCATCTCCTGGCTTGTGTGCAGAACTCTGCAGTGCTGACTGATCAAAGACAGCAGACCAGGGTGCATAAGCCCCCTCTGGCTCGTGCAGTCAGCTTTGCTCAAATTGGCTCAACCATGGAACCTTCCAATAGGATTTGTGGTTTGTTATTTTGTTTGTTTTTTGGTTTTTTGTTTTGTTTTGAGACAAGGTCTTACTATGTAGCCAGGCTGGCCTGGAACTCACTATGTAGCCACATACTCAGCAAGGGTGACAGAGATGTTTCTGTCTGTAGCATGCCCAGGAAAGGGTACAGGAGGGTGAAAGCATAGTTGGTAGAGGTTGTGTTAAGAATTAGAAGTTCAGGCCTGGGCACCGCTAGCTCACATCTGTGATCCTACCTACTCAGGAGGCAGAGACCAAGAGGATCACAGTATGAAGCCAGCCAGGCAAATAGTTCACAAGACCCTATCTCAAAAAAAACCCATCACAAAAAGGGCTGGTGGAGTTGCTCAAGGTGTAGGCCCTGAGTTCAAACCCCAGTACTGCAAAAAAAAAAAAAAAAAAAAAATTAAGAGCTGGAAGCTTAGAAGTCATTTAGTTTGTTTCATCCAAATACAAGGAAACTAAGGCCTAGTTGATTTGAAACAAACAATTGACTGAAAACAACCAACACCAGGGAAAAGTTCTTCCCCACTCCTACCCCCACCCCCATTTTGTTTTTTTGAGACAGGGTGGTCCATGCTGGCCTGGTGCTCATGATCCTTCTGCTTGCTCCTCCCAAGTACTGGGATTATAGGACTTCACCGCCTCACCACCAGGTCTGGCTTTGGCCTTTGGTCTTCACCATCGGTGGAAAAGTCTGTTAAGTCTGTTTCAGGGCGTTCACTTTCTCCCTTCAGTGTGTGCTGCCACAGGCTTGTGGTTGTCTACTTGTGGTCGTGATCGAATGCTGCTCAAGCATTGTGCAGGTTATGCTGAGTGATGCCTGACTGTTTTCAATAAAAAAGCTGCCACTTGGCAGAATCCACTTGGTTGGACACTTGAGATCCTGTTGGAGAGTGCCCAGTGAGCAGCCAGCTGCTGAGGATTGTGCACTTCGCTGCCTGCTGCCCCACACAGGTTGAGGAGTGAAGCTGTAGGCCAGCTGTCCTCAGGGCAGGAAAGGGACTTGTTCTCGAGTGCTGTGTAAGGCCCCTTTGACCATCTCCCAGTGAGTGGTCAGATCCTCCTTTTGCCCCATGAGGTGTTACCATGGCGAACAACCATGGGTCTCTCCCTGGCTTCCTGCTTTCCTCCATCACCATTTGTTTCTTCATGGGCTACAATGATGTGTGGCTTTTCAGCATGCTGTCATGTCTCAGAGGCTATCTTCTTTAAGGTTTGTTTTGTTTTTTGGTTCTGAGGTTTGAACTCAGGACCTTGAGCTTTGCTAAGCAGGTGCTCTACACTTGAGCCACGCCGTCAGTTCTTTTTACTTTAGTTATTTGGAGGGCCTCGCGTTTTTGCCAAGCCATCCTCAGACAGTGATCCTCTCCTGCTTAGCTGGGATAACAAACACACACCATGCCTGGCTTTTTGATTAAGATGGAGTCTTGCTGAGTTTTTGTTTGGGCTGGCCTCAAACTGCAGTCCTTCTCATTTCTGCCTCCTGAGCAGCTGGGATTACAGGTATGAGCCACTATTCCCTGCTCTTTGCAGGGTTTTCTTGTCTGGGCTTGTATGTCTATTTTTCCATGTGAACCAGGGCATCAACTTTCTGGCCCATAAAAGTCATTGGGGTTCTTACTGGGATTGATTCATACTTGGGAACCAGTGTAGGAAGGGCTGGCTTGGCGATATCAAGCGCCCTATCACATCTTGTTGTCTTTCAGGAATAGGCTGCGTATTTTTGGTTTGGTGTGTTTTACTCCTCAGGATGTATCTCTTTCTTGCCACTGTAAATGAGGCTTCCTCTACTCACTGTCTCTTAACTGGCCACTCTTTGTGTATATGAGGACTTTGATTCCCACATGTTAGTTTTCATCCTTCTGCTTTCCTGAATTCCTTGTGCTTATTTGTGTGAATTGACTGTGTCATCAGATCTCTAGGTTTTCAAGTGTGGTGTCACAGAATTTTCCAATTGAGATGGCTTTGCTTGCTTCTCCACATAACCACACCTGCCTGGCTTCTCTGCCTCCGTGTATGCTGGTGGGCAGTGCTGGAGATGTGGGTTCCACCTCCTTCTGATCCTTGGGGAAAGTCCACCCTGCCTCCCCACTAAGTCAGATGCTAGCTTCGTTTTAGAGTGTCTGAACGTGTTTTTACTTTGTTAGAAATTCTTATTTTATTGAGTATTTTCCCCGGGCATGGGTATTGAGTTTTTGCCAGAACCTTACCATGTGTGGATATAATCCCATGGCTTTTCTTTTCAGGTTCATTGTCATGTGTAGTATTTAATGGATTTCCTAATAGTGACTCAGCTTTGCGTTCCTGGCATAAGTGCACTTGGTTGTGGTGTATTATTTTTGCAATGGGTGTTGGATTCTGTTGGCTCGAGTTTTGTGCAGTTTCGTTCTAGTGCTAAGTGATAAGATTTCCTTCTCACTGGCTCTCATTTCAGACTCGAGCCTTACGCAGATCCTTATTATGACTATGAAATAGAGCGGTTTTGGCGCGGTGGACAGTACGAGAATTTCAGGGTGCAATATACAGAAACAGAACCGTATCATAATTACCGAGTAAGTATGACTCCACCATGCAGATGGGAATGCCCCTGATCTACCCAGTAAAATGACCCTTTTTAAGACAGGGTCTCAATATGTAGCCCAGGCTGACTTCAAACTTGTACTCCTCCCACCTCAGCCTCCTGAGTACTGGGGTCATAGGCATATGCTTCTGCACCCAGCAGCAGTCACCCCCTTCTTAGCTACAGCATTTCACGTGCGCTTATTCTGTCAGCACAATACACTAATCGAGCCATGCTAATTGTACTAAATTCAAGGCCCGGTCAATTGTCTCCTGACCCACTGGTTAAATTTGTGGTAGTCTGAATAGGGGCTTCCCTGAAAACTTTGTTCTCGCCATGGCATTGTAAACTTAGATTTGCTCGTGAGGTTACTGATGCTAATTTTCAAAGGACTGTCTCACCCTCCTGAGCTTGTCACTCTTGGAAGTCTCCCTAGCAGTGGTGTTTACGCTGTAGTGTCGTTCTCACCCCTCCAGCCCACTGGCTAAGAACGTGCTTCTGGCTGGCCATGCTGTGTTAGTGTGACAAAAGACTGGTCTATAGTGTGACTTCCTCCCAAGCCGTTCTGACTCCAAGAGCTTAGTGTATTTGTAGACCTGTATGCTACAAACTGTGAGTCCCGAATCTTCGCTCTTGGGTGACATGAAAAGGCTGCTCCCGGGAAGACCCATTAGCACAGTTGAGCAGGTTGTGTGCTGTGGCTGATGTGACAGAGCCATGAGTTTTCAGGGCCTAAAGGAGGTGGCAGCCCCAGGAGCCCACAGATGGTGAGCTTCTGCAGAAGATCTCAGGGCCCTCCTGTGCCCACCTGTCCCTAGGCAGAGCAGGCAGCAGGAAAGCCATGAAAACACAAAGCACATCCTCTGAAGTGGCCAAAAGCCCATAACTGGCAGGTGTGCTGTGACTGAATTTTATTCAGTTTTAACATTGACTTCTAGAGCAAATGAACAAGTTGGCAGAGGTGGATTGTCCATTCTGTTCCAGACGCTGCTCAGTGAAGTGCTGCATGTGCCCCTGTGCACAGCTGCTGTGTGACCTCCACCCTCAGAAGGAGCCGCATCCAGAGGCCATATCCTCTGGGTCATGAGCTTAAACCAGGCTGTGGTGGCAGAGCTCTGGACTTAGTGGTTGGGGTGACTTGTCTCTTATCTTGTGTTCATCTCTAATTTGGCACCTATCCCATTCTTTAATGTGTATTTGAAGGAGACACTGGAATGAAATAGCCTTGAGACTGGCCCTGAGCACGTCCTCCCACTTGCTCACTGTGTCCTGCCCTCTACCAAACAGTGCTTAATCATAGTGTGTGTGTGTGTGTGTGCGCGCGTGTGCGTGTGTGTGTGTGTGTGTGTGTATGTGTGTTTGGCTTTTTAACAAAGGAAAGGGAGAGGGAACGAGAGCGAGAGAACAGGCAGCGGGAACGAGAGCGGGAACGGGAGCGCGACCGGGAGCGTGAGCGCCGGCAGAGGGAGCGCGAGCGGGAGCGCGAGCGGGAGCGTGACAAGGAACGGCAGCGGAGGAAGGAGGAGTGGGAGAGAGAGCGAGCCAAACGCGACGAGAAGGACCGGCAGCACCGAGACCGGGACAGGGACAAGGAGCGGGAGAAGGAGAAGGAGAAGCCAAAGCCCCGGTCCCCGCAGCCAGCAAGGTAGGCCACCCCGGGTTCCTGGAGTGCTGGGCCCGAGAGCAGGGATGCTGTCACTTGCAGCTCTGATGTCTGACCCCATTGATCAGCAGTATCTGCCCTGAACTGACAGGATGCTGTTCTCACTCTTGCTGATCTCACTTGCTGTGGAAAAGCTCCATTGCCAAGGAAACTTGCACTCTGTTTTGGGGATTTTTTGGTGGTACTGGGGTTTGAACTCAAGACCTTGTGCTTGCTAGGCAGGTGCTCTTATCACCTGGACAGGTGTGATGCCATCAGGAGCACATGTGGCCCTGGAGCTTGGGAAAGGAAGTGGGTCCTGCTGGGCGTCTGCACCACTGCCAGTGCAGCGCTCCATCAGCTAGAAGAACCTGGTGCTGCCAGCCTTTCCACGTAGAATGGCCATGGCTTCCTAAGGTGTTCGTTGTTCTCTTGATGTGGTGGATTGCATTGGTGACCTGCTTCCCTGTGCAAGCCACTGGTGTGCATGCTGTGGTGGGCATGGCAAAAGCCTGAGAAACAGCAGGCCTGGGCAGAGGCAACCCTCTCATTTTGTAAACATACCTCAACACTGGAGCAGAGTGATGGTTCTTGATAGAGAATCAGGAACTGGGTGAAGTATGTGTTTTACAGTTCCTTTGATATACAAAATTCATGCACCTTGCAATATGCCTGCTAAAAGTGTGCAATTTAATGGTTTCTAGTATTTTCAGAGTTACACAGCCATCACCACAATCATAGAACATTGTTGTCTCCCAGAAAGAAACTGCGTGTCCATTACCATCGTGCCTGTTTTCCTAGCCCCCACCCAGCAGCTCTTAGCAGCCACTGTCTGTTCTCTGCCTTTTGGAACAAGATCTGCTTGCTTAGGACATGTGTAAATGGAACCCTGTGTCTGGTTTCCTTCACTTAGAATATCTTTAAGATTCATCTTCGTTATAGCATGTGTCAGTCTTTTATTTCTTCAAAACTATGGCTTTGCTGCATTGTGTTTATTCACTTATCCGTGGATGGACATCAGGTTGGTTATACCTTTTGGCTGTTGAGCATGTGAAGTTTATGTGTGTATTTTTGCACCAACATGTGTTTTCATTCTCTTGAGTAGATGAAAGGAATTGCTGGATCACTTGGTAACTCTCTTTAACTGTTTAAGGCCCTGCTAGATTGTTGTCACAAGCGACTACTATTTTACATTCCCACTGGTGGAGTATGAGGGTTCCAGCTCCTCCAGGCTTTCCGTCACAGTTGTTATCTTTTTTATTTGATTATAGCCATCCTGGCAGGTGTGAGGTCCTATCTCACTGTGGTTCATTGATTTGTGTTTCCCTGGTGATTAATGACATTGAACATATTTCCATTTTTAATTTGGTTGTCTCTTTATTGTTGAGTTGTAAGGATTTTTTATACTCTAAATACAAGTCCCTTATCAGATACATAATTTACATCATTTTGAGATACTGCTCCCATTTGATGGCTTTTTGGTTTTTTGGGGGGTTTTGGTTTGGTTTGGGTTTTTTGTGGTACTGGGGTTTGAACTCAAAGTCTTCACCTTCAGCCACTCCACCAGCCCTGTTTTTGTGAAGAGTTTTTCAAGATAGGGTCTCATGAACTGTTTGCCTGGCCTGGCTTTGAACCTTGATCCTTCTGATTTCTGCCTCCTGAGTAGCTGGGATTACAGAAGTGAGTACCGGTGCCCAGCAGCTTGATGCATTCTTTTACTTTATTGATAATGTCTTTAGAAACACAAAATTCCAAATTAACCTATTTTTATTTCACTGTGCTTTTGTTGCCATTGCCGTATTCAAGGTCACAGGTTTATTTTTCATTTCCCTCTAAGAGTTTCTTGATTTTAGCTTTTACTTCTAAGTCTCTGACCCATTTTGATTTAAATTTTGTATGTGGTATAAGGCAGGGGCTCAACTTCATTCTTTTGCACAGGGATGTTTACTTTTCCCAACACTGTCTTAAGAGACTGTCCGTTCCCCACTGAATGAGGTCTTGACACACTTCTCAAAATCAAATGATTAAATTTTATGAGCTCTTAGAAAAACTTAATTATGACAGCCATCCACCCCATGCTTCATGATGTCAGCACCCACACAGAGTCAAAATACCTGGAGGGGATCTGAGCAGCTCCTTATTGAGAAGTGACCCAAAGTCCTTCAGAGGCTCATGCTCTGCAGACATGTTTTCTTGGACTCAAATTTCAGAAATCCAAATCATGGCCTACATCCACTGGGACATCTGGTTTCACAGTTGTGAGTGACTCAGTGGACACACACTCTGGTGTGTCCCAGACACTTTCTCCTCAGCCTTCAGAATAGGCCCCTCACCCCCTTGGCCTTGGCCTCATGGCTGGGCTTTGCCCTTCTTCTGTGAACGCTTGTGTTTCTAAGAGTGGACTCCAGAGTGTCCAACCGCGGTGGGTTGCGTAGTTTGCAACAGGAATAGCTCTGCCTGCTTGCTCCAGACCACAGGGCATCAGTCCCTCAGCATGCTGCACTTCCTACCTAGTGAGGGTGGGCCAGAGTGATGCTCTTAAAGAATGTGTAGAATAAATGGCACATTTTGACGTGTTGAGAAGGTTCACTCTTCAGAAGACTACTTTGATGAATCTTGTTTTTTGCTCAGCAATCACTTAAAATCACTTTGAAGTTTATATAATCATCCCAATTGGAAGCTGATACCACAGACCCTTACCCAGCCCTGCTAACCTTCCTGCTTGTTTTCAGGAGGCTGGGAGCTCCTCCAGGCTGGTGTCTGTTTTCCAGCTTACAGCACTGTTCATACTGGAGGGTGCCTTTTAGAGTTTCCTTAGGGGTGGCCACCCAAGGCCAGCAGCATATCACTGTGGCCATGCGCTGTGAGTTTTAGGATGAGAGGTGGGTCCATGACTGTAGTTAGTGCACCACTTGTATCTCCATACCACCTGGCCTCCAGAGAGTGTATCATCACGAATCCAGAGTCCTGAAATGTGTTCTGGTCACTTGGCCACCAAGCAACAGTCCAGAGATGTCCGTCTTTAAGCCCTGAGGTTCCTGTGGTGGACCCTTAAGCCAGTGGACTCAGTGGAACTCGGGTTCCAGCTGGGCTGCTCTGAACTCAGAGAGGCTCAGGACAGCCAGGTGCAATGAGTGTGTCTGAAATCAGACACAGCTGTCCTTGACATGCTAACAAGTGTATACCCTTAGTTTCTGACCTGGTTTGTTTCCCTTTCATTCAGCTCAGGGACTCTTTCTTTTCTTCCCAAAACACTGGCTTATGCTTCTGTGGCCACAGCTTGGCCTCTGGCAGCCTGGTTTCTATTTGGCCTGCCTTCCTGGGGGTAAGACATCATAAGTCTTGTCCGTGGTCCTCCTCTCAGGCCAGCCCAAGGCCTGGTGTCTTACCGGGGCAGAATTCCCAGCATAGAGACCTTATTTTTTCCTTGGCTAGATATTCTTCCTGGAGGCTTGTCTCCTTCACAGGACCTGTGTGTGACTCCCTTTATGAGCAGGGCAGCCTGTAGCAGGCTAGTGGTTTTTAATCAGGTACATGGAAAGCATGTTCCTCACCAACAGGAGGAGAGCTGAGATTTGCCTCCAAGGAGAGCCCATTGCTGTGGAGTGTCTGCCCTGGCACAAGCCCTGCAGCTACACCCAGGAGTGGGGGTGGCTGAGAGACCTCAGCAAGGAGCAGTTCCTTTCTGGGTGCTATGACCAACAAACACTCCACACACCCAGGCCTTGGGTGCTGGCGCTCTGCTTTCCTCTCTGTCTTGGGGGAGCCCTTCCTTCCTCACCTCCCTGTCAGGCACCCCTCTTTTCTGTGGCTCTTCCTCGCCTGCCCAAGCTCTGTACTCTGAGGGAAGCTGCTAGTGAGCTGCCTCACCCAGAACCTTGGGGAGCTTGTAACCCACAAGTAACTCTAGGCCTCACAGGAAGCTCCGTGTCACCTTCTTTCAGATCTCACCTCACTCTCTCCAGGTTGATCTTTCACAATTAAGCTTCACAATACCTGTGCTCCTGCACCTGGGCTATTTTTAGTCTAGAGCTGAGCCTTTTTGCGAGTTCCATAAAATGCATCTGTAGGAGGGGAAATCCCTTTTACAAAACCTATTTGTGATCTTTACAGACAGCCCAGTGGGTGTGTCAGTGGAGCTGAGGCTGAGGCCTGCCTTTGCATAGTCAAATGCACATAATTACAGATGTAAATAGTAATTGGGCCTTCCTGTAGAAATGGCTCAGGCTGCAGCAGTCTTCAGAGTCGCTGATGTACCTGTGCGGCTTCCTCCCTGCAAAGGCAGCCCCACCCCTCCATACATGTTCACTACCCTGCTTTCCTGTTGGGGTTCACCGTCACCTCCGTATCTGCACTGCGTAGCCCCACACAGGCTGTCCCTTCATCCCAGGCTCACGTTGGGATGTTCTCGTTTGTCTGCCACTGTGAGGTGCCCAGGGGTCTCTAGCACTTGGGTTGGGTTGGGCCATCACTGGGATTGGAAAAGGCTGAGAAACACTTCTTAGGCCAGTTTTCTGATGAGGAGCGGGTCAAGGTTAGGTATTTAACGTGCATTTTAGCTGTGCTCTGTATCTGCTCCACAGTAAGACAGCCCACGTATGTGTGGGTGAGGCCTCATGGTCTTCTGCCCAGTCCTCTGGAAGGGGTATTGCTTTGGCTGAATCACTAGACACCACTGTCTTTGCAAAATGTTGTCCTTCCCTCCAGTGATTTCTCCCTGATCTCTCAAGTGTAGGACTCCTATTCCAGTCCTGCCCAGTACTGACGCCTGGAGAGCAGCAGGTGTCACTACCCTGTTTTCAGTGTCATCCCTTTGATGGGCATGTCTCACAGGGTGGAATTCACTGATTCCATGAGCTTAAACATTGTAAGGGTTAATGGACTGTACTGGTAACATCTATGTGGTGCCACCTTTCTCTGCTGACTCCGAGTGCACCCAATGGCAACACCTGGGCACAGTTGGCAGGATGTGCGTGACGGTGAAGTAGCCTGCAGCAACCAGA